GGGGGCCGAAGCGGGGCGATAGCAGCGGGGAACACCGCCTGGAACGGGACACGCGTCCCGTGGGATGCGCCTGCCACGCCCGCCACGCTTCCCGCACGCTTCCCACGGCTCCGGCACGCTTCCCACGGCTCCGGGACGCTTCCCACGGCAGCACCGCGGAGGACGTGGGATGGCGGCGGGATGAGCTTCCCCACGGCCGCCCGAGGCGGTGCCGGGGGGCGGAGGCCGTGTCGGGGGGGCGCCGCGCCGGGGATGCCGGTGGTTGCCAGCCACGGCCCCTCGAGGCTGGTGAGTCACTGCTGCGGCCAGAAGCGACATCCAGCAACGCTCCCGGCCTGGCACAGCCAGAGCCGCCAGCGCGGTGGAAAAGCTGAGTGGAGCGGAAAGGGGGACATGGGGGGGGGTTCCCAAACCACTGGGGCCCCCCCACCCGCCCACTGCCGCCACGTCTGTGGCAGCCTTGGAAACCGGAGCGGAGCCAAACAAACAGCGGCATCCTGCTGCCAAAAGCAGCCGGCGCCGCCACCGGGCTGGCAAGCTCTGCCTGGCCCGCCCGAGCTTCCCCAGCCCGCTGCCCTGCAGCCCTCCGCCTCCCTGCCGCGGGCGTGGGCGTGCGGACCCGGGCAGGAGCTCCGGCTGAGCCGTGGTGTCCCCCGAAAACACTGCCCCGGCACTGTGCCACGAGTGGCACCGAGAGCAGCTGGTACAGCCCCTCGTGTGCACCGGGCAGCCCCTCTGTGGGCACCGGGAAACCACCACGGACACCGGGAAACACACCGTGGGCACCGGGCAGCCCCTCTGTGGGCACCGGGAAACCACCACGGACGGACACCGGGCTGCCCTTTCATAGGCACCTGGCAGCCCCTTCCTGGGCACTGACCAGACCCTTTGTGGGCACCGGGAAATGCACCGTGTGCACCGGGCAGCCCCTCTGTGGACACCGGGAAACCACCACGGACACCGGGCTGCCCTTTCATAGGCACCTGGCAGCCCCTTCCTGGGCACTGACCAGACCCTTTGTGGGCACCGGGAAAGGCACCGTGGGCACTGGGCAGCCCCCGTGGGCACCAGGCAGCCCCCCGTGGGCACCTGGCAGACCCTTCCTGGGCACTGCCCGGACCCTTCGTGGGCACCGGGAAACACACCGTGGGCACAGGGCAGCCCCTTTGTGGGCACCGGGCAGCCCCCCGGGGGCACCGAGGAGCCCCTCTGTGGGCACCGGGAAATGCACCGTGGGCACAGGGCAGCCCCTTTGTGGGCACCGGGAAAGGCACCACAACCACGGACACTGGGCAGCCCCCCATGGGCACCAGGAAGACCCTTTGTGGGCACCGGGAAACCCCTTCCTGGGCACTGGCCAGGACCCTCTGTGGGCACCGGGAAACACACCGTGGGCACCGGGCAGCCCCTTTGTGGGCACCGGGAAACGCACCACAACCACGGACACTGGGCAGCCCCCCATGGGCACCGGGCAGCCCCTTTGTGGGCACCGGGCAGCTCCCCATGGGCACCGGGCAGCCCCCCGTGGGCACCGGGCAGCCCAGTTTGTGGGCACCTGGCAGCCCATTCCTGGGCACTGCCCGGACCCTTCGTGGGCACCGGGAAACACACCGTGGGCACAGGGCAGCCCCTTTGTGGGCACTGGCCAGACCCTTTGTGGGCACCGGGAAACCACCACAGACACCGGGAAGCACACCGTGGGCACCGGGAAACACACTGTGGGCATCGGGCAGCCCAGTTCGTGGGCACCTGGCAGCCCCTTCCTGGGCACTGCCAGGACCCTTCGTGGGCACCGAGAAACACACCGTGGGCACCGGGCAGCCCCTTTGTGGGCACCGGGAAAGGCACCACAGCCACGGACACTGGGCAGCCCCCCATGGGCACCGGGAAGACCCTTTGTGGGCACCGGGCAGCCCCCGTGGGCACAGGGCAGCCCCCCGTGGGCACCGGGCAGCGCCCCTTTCCCCCCCCACGAGGGTTTCACGATCAGTGCTCTAAACCAAACCCCCCCGCCCCGACGTGGCGCAGCGGAGCGCGGGCACCACGGGGGGCACGGGGCACCACCGGGGGCACACCCCGAGCCCCCCGGCACGGCAGAGCGAAGCCCCTCAGCACCGCCCGGCGCGAACGACGCTGCCGGAGCCCCCCGGGAGCTCCCGGCGCCGTGATGAGCCCCGGCAGGTGCGACCTTGGGGGTGTCCTTCGGGCTGGAGCCGGGCCAGGGACAGCGGGGGCTCCGGCCGGGCCAAGGTGCCCTGCCCGCCTTATCTGGCACCGGCACCGGCAGCGGCAGCGGCAGCGGCAGCGGCAGCGGGCTCGGCGGTGGATTCCCGGCGCGGCGGCCGCGGGAGAGGAGCCATCCCGGGGCCGCGTGACGGTCGGTGCCCGGTGCCACACACAGAGCGACGGAAGCCGCAGCCAACGCCCTGGAACGGGACGGGGTGGGGGGGGCAGAGCCCCGGCAGCTCGGGTACAGGTGGCTGCGGCCGCGCCGGGGGTGCGTGTGGGGGTCTCACAGGACCCCCCAGCCACCGGCATCCTCTCGGCCCTTCCCGGCCCCCTCTGTCACCGGATACTCGTCCCCCAAAAGTATTTGGCGCCTTCACGGCTCGGGATGAGGATGCTGCGGAGGGGTTTGGGCAGCCAAACCAGCGCCAGGCGGGACCACCACTCGAAAAAGTGCCAGGGTGGACGGGGTGGGCACGGGGGGCGGCACTGGGGGGGGCCGCACTCTGTCCGTGCTGAGTCACCCTTGGGTCCCATCGCTCCCCCCGCTTGGGTACCACTCCCACCGGGATGCTCCCGCAGGGCAGGTGACGCCCCCCAGAACCCAGGGCAGCACCCTCCCCTCGCCCCCAGCCCCACGGCGGGTGGGTGTCCCCCAAAACCCCCGCAGGACCCTCCCACCCACTCGGGACCCGGCGGGGCTGCCGGTGTGGTGTGGCTCCCCCCTTCCCCGGGGCCGGTGGGCGGGGCGAGGGGCCGAACCGAGCGCGGCGCGGTGGGGGGGGGGGCCGAGCGGTGCCCAACTCACCGGTGCCCCCCGGCTCGTCCCGCTGCCGCCGCCAGTACCAGACCAGGGCGAGGGATGCCGCGTGCCCCGCCGCCACCAGCGACGGGAACAGGGACCCGGTGTCCTCCATCGGGGACACGGCACGGGCTCGGCACCGGCCGGGCTCGGCGGGTCAGGGACGAACCAGCGCCCGCCCCCACGGGGCAGCGCCCTCTCCGCCTTAACCCCTCCCGAACCGCGACGCGGAGACGCCTCCTGCCCGCCGCACCGGCACGGCCCCGTGTCCCCCCC